CCTTCTGCAAAGGGGAAATGAGCACTTCCGGCTAACATCTGTAGGACTTGTAACCCAAGGTCATGTACTGTAGTTCCATTCGGATGACGTCCACCCCACCTTTGCGGGAGTCCTCTATATGCTCCCAGCAATATTATAGGAGCCCTCAGCTCAATATGGAAATGACCATCAATATATTTTTTGCCGTTCACTCAAAAAAGAAGGAATCCTGAACGACCGAGCACAGCTCGTCTGAGCGGCCCTTTAACCAACTCATATGACTTCCTTTCGCTTTCATTATCGAATAATAAATACAGGTTTGGCCGAGCTACATATCAGTAAAGTTTACGCAGCCCAGACAGAAGACGTGGATACGAGTACCAGGGCAGAGATACCCAAGATGTTCCTCGATAAGCAGGAGCAGGCCCTCGCCCATCACCTTCATGTACACCAAAATATGAAGTCATCTCCAATCGCAGCCTGACTGGAGAAGGCCTATGGATCACGTCACCTCCAAACAGCTGCGAAACTTCTTGTATGGAGTCACCCATGGACAGCTACCTGGAGACCAGCACTCTTGATCTGGAAGACCTCCAACATCGAGCAGCTCCGACAACGTCGCTACGGTCCAGGATATCATCTTCACCGCAGTCGCCAAGGCACGAGTTGATGGTATGGACTGAAATTTTCTAAACCCCTTCGCTTACCGGGTTCGGGAGAAGCTCAAGGGTGGTCTACAGTGGCGGAGAAATCAACGACCTCGCTGAACTCAGACACCGAATCACGGTCGCGTGCAGAATCTCCCGATGGCGTTCGTCCAGAAGGCTCTGGCAGAGTTTAGCACTAGTTCAAAGTGTGTTGAACTCGATGGTAAAAATGTATAGTCAGGATTCAACAAAGTGTAATTCCTATCGCCTTAAAAGTCGTGGGAGGAAAATGTCTTTTTTTGCTCTCCTCCCGTATGTGAGAGATAAGTACATATGCGTGAAGGATCGCATTACCTTCACTGGTGCCTTCTTCACGGTCGGTTTAGCCGTATCGGAATCGGATGAAGAAGAAGACGAAGATTTACCCTTGCGTTTTAATCCGTTCATCATAGGTTTGCCATTTGGAACCTGTAAAACAATGTTTTTTATCCTTGAATCCAACAACAAACCTTATCATCATAAAACCAGGCTGATGTTCCTGCACCTGGATAATTGAAGTTTGTCAGCAACTAAACTTCATATACAGATGTAACAACTATTGGAATTTGATGTTTAGTCGCTCAGAACTGCAGTACGCTCAATACACTGACGCAAGTATGAACACACTCTCACTTATTACGTGCTAGGAGATGCACCTGTGAGGGCGAACCAACTCATTCAAGCAAAGAAGATTTTACGCATTTCAAGAAGTACGATCCATCCGTCTAGAAGACCTGTTCGCGGTCAAGTGCAATCTACTAATGGGATTCACACAGCAACGGTGTACGTTCTTCCCAGACTCAGGTAAAAATCAGTTTCGCACTGTTTTGCAGAACTATGCCTCACCAGCGCCAAAATAATATGGGTATAAGGATGGCTGAAACGATGAGGTAGCGAAAAGAACAAATTTCAAACCACACCCCCCCCTCAAAAGAAATAAAATAAAACATTTCTTATTTATCTTTATTTTTTGTCTCTTCATTGGGAATTGCGGTTCTCTCAATTCTACCCACAAGTTTTTTGACATGTCTAAAGAGTAAATAAATAGAAGCCCAGCTGTTTTCGTAAGACATTGTGTCTATAAAGAAAAAGAAATTTCCAATATCCACCGCAGAAGAGAGTCAAACCCAGCCGATAAATCACGACATAATCATGAGAATAAAGACTTTCTCGACATGAAGGCACACCTCCGTATTTTCCTACCCAAGACAGAAGCGTATAAAAGGTACTAAAGAAACCTACCACTGGCTTCTTCACCGTCTCGTCGTCTGAGGAATCGTCGGAATCCGAGGAGTCACCCTTGTCGACTGCTCTTTTTTTAGCTACAGGCGTCGAAGTTGACGAAGGAGCTGGACGTTTTCGTGTGGTCAGATACGTTTCAGCACATACTTTCATAGCAGGTATGTCAGCGTTATTTGAAATCTGAAAAAAGCGACAACAAGCTCTGGTACCCGCACGTTTCTGTTTTTCAAGATTTTTATAGCTCCAATCACTTAGAATTTCAAAGAAATATACCAAAACACACACCATTGTAGTCTCTTTGAGCATCATCTGAAGTTTATAAGAAAATAAAACAACTGGAAACAAATCTTACAAATTTCTTGATCTCAGCTATTTTTGTTGCACTGAACATTTCCTTGATGGACTTCGGATTCCTTTTGAGAACCTCATTATATAATATGCACTCAGCATATAAATCTGAAGACATGGCTTCTTGTGGACCCAGACGAGGTAAAACTAGAAAAAAAATAATTATTCTTGTCAGTAAAATTGCTATGACAGAAGCCCGAATGAAACAACGAAGCCAGCGTGAACAGCTAGCTAATGTGAGGAAAAACGAAATGTTTTTTTCCATCTATTTTTCCGATTTGCTGATGCGCACTCAAGCAGTGAAGACATTTGATGAATAAACACGTATGGCTCATTTTTTACACATTTTGTGGAACTTCTGGCAGTTTTCTAATGAACTGAGCAAGCAAGGCCGCTGAAAAATTGGAAAGAATAAGAGAAACAACAATCTCATGTGTACGCCTTGAAACTGCTTCGAAAGGACATCAACATTCGCTCTACGAGCGCTCCACGTAGAAACTTTACTTTCAGAATTGTAAACCCTACAAACTATCAGCTCAGCAAGATATGGACACAATTAGAAACTCTAGAAAACGTAAAAAAAACCACCGAGCACTTTGAAAATCGGCGCTCCACAGCTGAGACGACACTGTAATGCGCACCGCGGTGGGACCCCATGACAACGCGCGCCGATGAACCTTCATTAGACCGCGTTCATCAGATGCAGACATTCGGACATATTGCGAACGCGGAAATTGCCAGAAAGTAAAATATATTACGTATCGTATCTGACATTCTGCACTGTCGCCGCACGAAATCTCGCGGATTTGCGAATGCAGAATTGACGGACAAAGAACGTATATTAGGATTCGCATTGGGTTCTCCTTGCCGTCTCGGTTGAATTTGCCGAAGCGCGGAATCTGCAGATTCTGCATGTCGGCAAATTCCGCGGAATTTGCCGACATGCAGAAACGACGGACAAAGATGTGATAGGGATCGATCGGTCCGTCATGCGGAATCTGCAGATTCTGCATGTCGGCAAAATTCCACACGACGGCAAGGAAGAACCAATCGATCCCTATCACTTCTTTTTCCGTCAATTCTGCATGTCGGCAAATTCCGCGGTTCTTCAAATTCCACACGTCGGCAAATTCCGCAGTTCTGCATATTCCGCAGTTCTGCACCATGTATGAACGCGGCCTTACCTATCACACTTGCCTTCATATGGTCTCGCAGTTTGTCGGGTGTTATACCACCGATTTGATGATTAATGACAGACCAGTGGATGAAGAAAAAATCGAAATCTAGAGGGAATAAGAGTAACATAAACATGGCTAAAACGCCTAGTTGCCTGACAGAAGCGTCGCGTCCGCGCTCTATGCGGTGGGCTTGAATTTTAATTCTGTGCGTTAAGCTTCCTCTGCAACGTACATTATGAATAGTCTTGTGTACTGCCGATCCCCTCGAATCATTCTGATATCCAAATAACCTCGCAGTTCCAACTATATATCGAATATCACATAATCACACCCACCTCCTACAACATGAGCGGTTCCAAAAGATATCCCAAAAAGACGCCCATCAGACGTCCCAGATTGTTTTTTAGCACTTTAGGGGCAAGTAGATCGTTAAGACATGTGTATCGACAATTGTCTCAATCCACGTGTCTCAGTATCGTCAAATGGGAGTGTCTGTAATCTCCAGGCTGAAAGTTCGTCTTGCCTTGTAAGGCAGCGTTCATACTTGTAGCGCTACAGCGTCGCGCTACAGCGTCGCGCTACAGCGTCGCGCTACTGCGTCGCGCTACAGCGTCGCGCTACAGCGTCGCGCTACTGCGTCGCGCTACAGCGTCGCGCTACAGCACCGCTTCGCAACGTACTGCAATTTCCAACGTTAGGATGATTAGAGTTGCTTATAGAGAAAAGTGGGAAGGTTGCTGGAGTTTTTCTTGAGAAATTCACGGCGAAGGTGTAGACTGATACAGCTATAACTATTAGGTTGGCTAATAAGTAATGGCCGTTTTTTTCAATTGAAAAATTTGTTCGAAAAGTGAAACGTTTTGCAAGCAAGTTATATATCATCTGATAGGAAACTTCTCGTAGTATAAGAATATCAAAAAAGCTTTGGTTGAGGATATAGTTTTTGTGAATTTTAGTCGTTGAAGTTGGAAGTGAAGTCGGCGAAAATTAGCATCTTCGACAACTGCCTCTATTTAGAAATTTCATGCTAATAGTTGAATTAATTGAATATGAATTTCGATATTCTAATACTACGAGAAATTTGCTATTAAACGATATTAAGCTTGCGCAAAACTTCTTCCACTTTGGAACAAATTTTTCAATTGAAAAAAAACCGCCATTACTTATTAGCCAACCTAATATCTGACCATCCTTGACAGTTACTCCATTAGTCACTATTTTTCTGGTACTGCTTTAGCGTAACAGTGTCCTTCTGTCCTATTAAGAGCATTTTCTGCAAAAAACACCCAAAGAGTACTCGCGCCACCTAAAAACACGCACGCATGTTTTTTACCGGAGACACAAGAACCATAAAGGAACTTCTTGTTTGCATTGTGCTAACGCATTGGTGATCAGACAGTCTTCGCGTGTGCCTGTTGTAGGAGATAAGGCCATTTTTTTCTGCTGCCGACAAATGCGACTCAATACTGATACTCTCCTAGGCCAAAAAAAAGTACAAGAAACTGTCAAGCTTTGTGGCTGTGAATGCCTCGAAAACCGGCATAAATCTTTTTCCTGTGATCCAGGCAGAGATTGGGGGCAAACTCTGAAAGCAGATTTCGCTCCATAATCGATAAGCGGCATAGGATTCTGTATTCATTCTTTCTATATTCAATCCTCTTCTCTTTGTTTCTCATATTTATCTAATAGTGAGCTCCTGTTTTCTACTTTATCACATTTTAATGTAGTTTCGCAATCGGGATCAAAACGAGGCAGTACTGCAAGACATCAAGCAAAGCCATCAAACATCAAGCAACTGTGAAACCAAATAATTTAAAGTCAAAAACGATAAATAAAACCAATTATCACAGTCTTCTGTATCAAAAACTACATCAAAATGTGATAAAGTAGAAAACAGGAGCTCACTATCAGATAAATATGAGAAACAATCAAAAACTACATCAAGATAAAGTAGAAAACAGGAGCTCACTATCAGATAAATATGAGAAACAAAGAGAAGAGGATGATATAGAAAGAAAAAACATAAAAGCTGGAGTTCGGTACAACTGTAGCGCGACGCTGTAGCGCTACGCTGTAGCGCGACGCTGTAGCGCTACGCTGTAGCGCGACGCTGTAGCGCGACGCTGTAGCGCGACGCTGTAGCGCTACGCTGTAGCGCGACGCTGTAGCGCGACGCTGTAGCGCGACGCAGTAGCGCGACGCTGTAGCGCTACAAGTATGAACGCTGCCTAAAATACCTATGGAAAGTGAAACATGAACCATTGTCCAGAATGCTGGAAGCTGATGTCCCATTATAACGACAGCGACAGCGACCAGGAACCTGGTGATGGTTACTCAATC